AAAGTAGAGAAACTAGAGCTCAAATCCCCAGTCTCAAGTATGACCCTAAAGAATTTTCTCAACTTCCCTAAGAATCAATTTCTTCATTCACAAAATGAAGGTAATAATATTTATCTTGTAAGGTTGTAGAGAGGATTAGCACCAATTTGAACAAAATGCCTAGCACAGTTTCTGGTGCACAATAGGTACTCTATAAGTCTTACTTCTAGTGAGAACATTAGTTGCATATTTGAAAACAGCTATTCTTGTAAAGAATTATGAATTTTCATTAAATTGTACAAAACTTCTTTGTTTTTTTAATGAGAAGGGGTACATAGCAATCATTTACATTTAGTCACTACGTATCTGTTGTTGATATGATGGTCAACTATCTGCCTAAAGCAATTTGAATTCTGATGTCTGAGAATAAGTAATTGGGAAGAGAGAAAAACATGTTAATTAGATAACATAATAACACACTGTACCTAAGTTAAAAAGCAACTACTGTCTTCCGAATTAAATAGAAATATTCTAAAAGCACAAATTTTTAAAAGAGTGGTATGGATTCCCAGCTTGCTGTGAAAAATTCCCAATCACTTTTAAAGCTTTTTAAAAACTCCAAAATGCCTGACGGTAAGTAAACAGAATATAAAAACAGATGGTTTGGATAGTCTGAATATAAAAAAGCAGGTGCTTAGCAAAACAGAAGCATTTGCCAGTTTGCCAGCGCTGCTGGCTCCTGCTTCCACATCCTGCTTGCGTTCCTCCCCACATCTGCTCACTGGTGCCCACGTGATACATTCTATTGACTAAGAGGATGAAGAGCAGCAACTTGTGAATCAAGAGACTACTGAGATCTGTTACATGAAAACGGAATTTCCTTTTCTTTGTAGGTAGGTTTCTCTATTTTAAACTTAGGTGGAAAATTTATCTTTCTTCAAAATAAAGACACATTCCTTAGATTTAGGAAAATTCTTTTAACAACAGTACAATAAAGAGGTATTAAAACCTAGCTTATGGAGCACAGTAATATAGATATATGCAATTTAACTCAAATCTTAAACCATGTTTTCAGACTATACTTTCTGCTGCCCAAGTACACTAAAGGAAGAAATTGCCATAAATTAGTTTCTAGAAACAGAAAGAAAGCAACCACAATGTCTCTTTATCACATGCAGAACCAAACCACACATTATTTTTCAGAAACTATCACTTAGTGCTTTGCTTCTAAACAAACTAGAAACTTCAAAGAAGAATGTGATATAATTTAGAAGAAGGCTAAAAACACAGTAAGTTAAAAGAATAAAATGAGCAGTCATACTGTGAGAGGACCAAGACAAGAAATATAGTCCTTTCCTTTCAGGTTTCCTTAATGGCGTGATGCGGGGTGTGGGATTAAAAAAAAACCAAAATAACCCCAAATTAAAGCTACGTAACTATTTGGCACTTTAGTAGATACTTGTGAAAAATATGACAATTCAGATGTCAATAAAAAGGAGTAGCGTAAAGACTCAGAGTATCTCCCAAAGGGGCCAGCGACATTGGGAACAGAGGTCGGCAGGAATCAGACTAGGAGAGAGGCCTCGTTGAGTGGCAAGGGAAGGTGAGGGTACTTTTATGGAACTGTTAAAGATAGCATGTCAAGTAGGATGGCTTGTGCATGCTAGTTATAGAAGCCATGGTCACGTTTACTTGCTAACAACCTCCTAGTTGGTCACTCTAGTTTTTACCTCACTACTGGTAGGTACTAAAGTTTCAGGGAGAGGGTTAATGTCAGTGATGATGCAGACAGTATGAGCAGCTACCACTTACTGAGTGTTTCATTTGTTAGGTACTATGCCAAGTACTTTACATGCTTTATCTCATTTAATCAATAATGATAACTCAATGAAGCTCGTAGTATTAATATCATAATTTTACCACTAAAGAAACAGGCTCAAAGAAGTTAGGTGATGTGTCTATTGAGTCAGATAGTTTGTTTATGACAGAGTTGGGATTTGAACCCAAGTAAGAATAATACCAAAGATGACACTCTTAACCAGTTACTTTTTATATATGATCATGAAATGTGCTAAAAATAGTTACATCAATACCAAATACTAAACTATAAAACTTTTTACAAAGAACACATGAGAGCCTCCTACATGTCTTCATATTCACTTACGTTATCATAAAATCACATTCTTTAAGTGGTTTTATCCACATAATACTGAATTTATGACTATTAATTGGATAAGATAGTTTATTACCTGACATTAATTTTTTACTTTTCTTTAGCTGCTCAGAAAAGGTGAATGAATTGTAATTTACTTGTTCTTCCTTAGCTGCTCAGAAAAGGTGAATGAATTGTAATTTACTTGTTCTTCCATGTTTTTCTTAGATGCTAACACAAAAATAAGAGCAAATATCAACATTTATTGGAATGTGTATGTCAGTCACTGTGCTTGCCAGGGTTCTCAACCTCAGCACTACTGGCATTTTTGTTGTGGAGAACTGGCTTGTGCGTGGTAAAATGCATCTCTGGCCTCTACTTACTAGGAGCCAGGAGCACCTCTCCCGCAATCGTGGCAACAAACAATGTCTTTTTTTCCAACAATGCCTTTAACACTGTCAAACATCCTCTAGGAAACTTTCTAGAAGAACCACTGTGGTAGTAAGCACTTAATATATATTTAGTAATTTAATTCTCCCACTTACCATGAGGTAGGTATACTAGTACTAAATAGTCCAGTTTTTCAACTTGAAATTGAGAGGTAGAGTTAGTTTAAACTTAAGCAATGTGACTCCAGAATCTGTACTCTTATCCAGCACACTACATTACTTCTCTAGCAAAATAGGTTTCTCAGCCCTAAAGAATTGTGAAGCTTTTTTCCCTCTGGTTTAACTTACTACTATCACCTGGGAAAATGTTTAAATGGGGAATATATATATAAAACAAGGCTCACACAGCTCCAATTTCCTCAGCCTGCTCTTTAAGGTGGCATAATTTAGAATAAGTTCTCAACTTGGGGGGAGGGGTATGAATTCCTTTAGGAATCTGTTAAAGATACTATCTCCCAGGAAAGTGTACCTGTACAATATTTTACATACTTTATAGTGTTAGAGGACTTTACATATAGAACCTGAGTTTAATCCTTGTCCCAAACTTACTAGCTATATGATCTGAATGAAGTTATTTAACCATGCTGCTCCCCAGGTTTCCTTCTGTAAAATGAGGAAAAGATCACTTACCCTACATGGTGTTGTGAGGCTTAAGCTGATTATCTGTTTGAAGCAGCGAGCAGAGTACTGGCACCTAGAAGCTATATAATAAATGGCATTCCTCCTCTTGATAATTCTAGTTTCTTGCCCTGTTCTATCAGAGAAAGCCTCATCCACTTTTCAATATGCTCTAGATTTTGCGATGCATATTGCTCATCATCTATGCCTTCCTTTAATTATTTTATACACATCATACAAATCTAGTCTTTAGTCTTATTTGTTCTTACTACTCGTTCACCTTACCCCAAAGCCCAAGATAAAAGGGCTGTGTGTGTGTGTGTTTCAGTCACTCAGCTGTATCTGACTCTGTGTGACCCATGGATTGTAGCCTGCCAGGCTCCTCCATCCATGGGATTTTCCAGTCCCATGGAATACTGGAGTGGATTGCCATTTTCTTCTCCAGGGGATCTTCCCAACCCAGGGATTGAACGTGGATCTCCAGCACTGCAGGCAGATTCTATCATCTGAGCCGCCAGGGAACAAGGGAAGAAACAGAAGGAAACCTCCGTGAATGCATTTCCTTACCAATGTTAGAGGCAGAACCTCATAAGATTGTTGCAAGAAATAAAGACAATCTTTGTGAAATGTCTGGCACTGAATACTACAGGTGACTGATAAATTCTTCCACAAATTCTTCCATGTGGGGCCTATTAGACACTATATGAAGGCTCCTCTGAAATGTCCTTTGAGTACCTAAAAATCCACCTTAGTAATTAAAATAATGTTTTCCCCTACTTTTTTGGTGTTAGTTTTTAAAGGGAAGGTAAGGCATTATTCAGTTTAGAAACACTATTTCTAGCGAATGAAGTATAGAGTCCACCATGTGGCTTTCAGAAGAATAAATGTGAAAGGCACTTTGGGTCCATCCCATTTACAACTGCATTACTATCATGGGCTTCGCTGTTGGCGCAGACAGTAAAGAATCTGCCTGCAATGCAGCAGACCCTGGTATTTAATGTCCAGCCTTCACAGTATATGCTAAAGCACTTCTTGATAAAACAATAGCCCCTCTGATTTAATACTATGCAAGCACAACAAAAATCATTTAATAGTGTACTTATTCACAAAAAAGTCAAGTGAAACATGAAATGTTCTCCCAACAGGCTGCTTCTCCATCTACGCCTGGAGCCAAAATCCATCACAAGTGAGAATGCTCAAGAGAAGTAATAATATAAAAATCATGTGTTCTTCTCATTCTCAGTTTCTATGAACCAACGCAGCACTCCATGCTCTGTGACATCCAAAAAAGAAAATGACAAAGAAAACTACAAACTATCCTGTCTCACAGTAAGTCATAATGTCATTTCGAAGTGAAGCAAAAACATAAAAAATGATTTCACTCAGAAAAGGTCTTTCAAATCTGATCTATGCTGTGTTGTGGCAGACAGATACTCTAAAGGATAAAACACCTTTAACAAAACATATAATGAACTCTTGTTGTCACTGGGGAAGAGGCCAGGGGCACCATTTGCAGACACCAGTAAGTTAAAGAGTCTGAGATGGTTGAAAGGTAACATATAGTTTGTATCGGTTTCTATCAAGAATTAAGAAACAGCCACCAGAATAACTTTTTTGAAATATATAAACTATCAATCATTCCTATTACCTAATTAAGAGTTTTCAGTGGGCCGGCCTGGTGGCTCCGCAGTGAAGAACCCACTTGCCAGTGCAGGAGACGTGGGTTTGACCGCTGATTTGGGAAGAGCCCAGATGCTGTGGACCAACTCAGCCCCTGCGCCACAACTACAGAGCCCACGGCTCTAGAGCCAGTGAGCCGCAACGACCAAGCGCAGGGGCTCCGACCGCTGAAGCCCGTGTGCCCGAGAACCCACGCTCTGCCACAGAAAGAAGCTCCCACAGTGAGGAGCCCTGGCACTGCCATGAACAGCAGCCCCCGCTCGCTGCAACTAAAAAAGAGCCCATACAGCAACAAAGACCCATTACAGCCAAAAATAAATAGGCAAATAAAATTATAAAAAAGTGTCAATGGCACCCTTTCTCACAAGAAAAAACTTTCTTTCTTAACTTGCTGTGGAGCACTCTTCCTCATCTGGCCCTTCCCAACTATAGTAATAACACTTCCCCTTACTTCAGCTATAGGGCTTCCCTGGTGGCTGAGTGGTGAAGAATCTGCCTGCCAATGCAGGAGATGTGGGTTTGATCCTTGGGTCAGGAAGATCCCCTGGAGAAGGAAATGGCAACCTACTCCAGTACTCATGCAAAGATGGCCACAATATAGGACAGAAACAGCAAGGACCTAATAGAAACGGAAGAGATTAAGAAGAGGTGGCAAGAAATCACAGAAGAACTATTCAAAAAAGGTCTTAATGACCCAGATAACCACGATGGTGTGGTCAGCCACCCACAGTCAGTCAGGTGGCTTAGGAAGCATCACTATGAACAAAGCTAGTGAAGGTGATGGAATTCCAGTTGAGCTATTTAAAATTCTAAAAGATGATGCTTTTAAAGTTCTGCACTCAATATGTCAGCAAATTGGGAAAACTCGACAGTGGCCATAGTACTGGAAAAGGACCATTTTCATTTCAATCCCAAAGGGCAATGCCAAACTGTGGTGCTGGAGAAGACTCTTGAAGAGTCCCTTGGACTGCAAGGAGATCAAACCAGTCAATCCTAAAGGAAATCAATCCTGAATATTCAATTGGAAGGACTGATGCTGAAGCTCCAATACTTTGGCCACCTGATGGGAAGAGCTGACTCACTGGAAAAGACCCTGATGCTGGGCAAGATTGAAGGCAAAAGGAGAAGAGGGTGGCAGAGGATGAGTTGGTTACACAGGATCACAGACTCAATGAACATGAATTTGAGGACAGAGGAGCCTGGTATGTTGCAGTGCATTTGATCACAAAAAATTGGACACAACTCAGAGACTGAACAACAACCAGTATTCTTGCCAGGAAATCCCATGGCCTGAAGAGCCTGGCGATCTTCAGTCCATGGGATCGCAAAAGAGTCAGACATAACTTAGTGACTAAAAACAACAAAACTTCTACTGTATGGCACAGAATTTTACCCCACCAAGCCTTGCGAAATGGGCTGAACATACCATGCATTCACACCTCTGTGGCTTTGTATACACTGTTGCCTCAGTGAGGAATAGTCATCTTTCCCTCTTTCAACCTGGCAAAATTATCTCCACCTTTAAGACCCAGTCCCAATGTAATTTTTCATGGGATGCTTCTCTTGACTTCTTTTATAAACTGCTTTTGTCATACTGTGCTGTCAATTATTTGTCTATCTCTTTCTTCCACTGTTCTGTGAGTTCTAAGGACAGTGATTGGAACACAGAAGATATTCAATAAATGATTACTGAAGGAATGATAAACTAGTCTAGCAAGGGAGATGACCTTGGAAAGACAATTTGCACCTCTGGGCCTTAAATTGCCATCGGTAAAATTAGGAAATGGCAAAAAAAAAAAATTGTTTAAAGACGTGAAATAAGAGTCTACCTAGAAGACTAACATGAGAGACAGATTAAAGTTGAGTACTGTTTCATGGAAGGGGAAGGTGACTTGCTAAGCTCCTCCTCCCCTTGTTAGAAACCACACAGCAAGCTGGAAAACTTATGGACTATACATTTTACATTTTCTTCCAGTTTTAATATGCTATAATTCTATGATGTTATCCAGTATTTCAAAGCACTGCATACAAAGATTATTTAGTGGAAAAACTCCGTTGTTCTATTCTCCTTTAGGAACAAAACCAAAAATTTGGAACTGTATTTTCCCATAGTGAATTATTCTGTAGGTGTATCAGATCTGGACTCACTAGCTGTGCTACAAAACTGCACTGATTATGGACTCATTTACTCTACTTGGAGAAAGAAACGGCAACCCACTCCAGTATTCTTGCCTGGAGAATCCCATGGACAGAAGAGCCTGGTGAACCCACATCCATGGGGTGCAAAGAGTTGGACATGGCTAAGCAACTAACACTTCACTTATTCTATTAGCTTATCAGATAAAATTACATTACTTGTGACAATCATCCATTTTAAACCCAAAATGTTGCAACTGATCAAACAGACCTTAAAAATAAACTGTCTAATAATAACTGGACATGGAACAACAGACTGGTTCCAAATAGGAAAAGGAGTACGTCAAGGCTGTATATTGTCACCCTGCTTATTTAACTTATATACAGAGTACATCATGAGAAACACTGGGCTGGAGGAAGCACAAGCTGGAATCAAGACAGTCAGGAGAAATATCAATAACCTCAGATATGCAGATGACACCACCCTTATGGCAGAAAGTGAAGAAGAACTAAAGAGTCTCTTGATGGAAGTGAAAGAGGAGAGTGAAAAAGTTGGCTTAAAGCTCAGCATTCAGAAAACTAAGATCATGGCATCTGGTCCCATCACTTCATGGCAAATAGTGGGGAAACAGTGGAAACAGTGGCTGACTTAATTTTGGGGGGCTCCTAAATCACTGCAGATGGTGATTGCAGCCATGAAATTAAAAGACATTTACTCCTTGGAAGGAAAGTTATGACCAATCTACACAGCATATTAAAAAGCAGAGACATTTACTTTGTCAACAAAGGTCCATCCAGTCAAGACTATGGTTTTTCCAGTAGTCATGCATGGATGTGAGAGTTGGACTATAAAGAAGGCTGAGTGCTGAATAATTGATGCTTTTGAACTGTGGTGTTGGAGACGGCTTTTAAGAGTCCCTTGGACTGCAAGGAGATCCAACCAGTCCATTCTAAAGGAGATCAGTCCTGTGTGTTCAATGGAAGGACTGATGTTGAAACTGAAACTCCAATACTTTGGCCGCCTTATGTGAAGAGCTGACTCCTTTGAAAAGACCCTGATGCTGGGAAAGATTGAGGGCAGGAGGAGAAGGGGCCAACAGAGGATGAGATAATCGGATGGCATCACTGAATCAATGGACATGAACTTGGGTGAACTCCAGGAGATGAATAGGGATAGGGAAGACTGGTATGCTGCAG